CATGCTTAAAATTAAAAAGTAATTTTTATAAGTTTTTATAGCTAGGCCAGCTCTTTTACTTAATAAAAAATTTATTATATTTATAAATTTATTATTTTTTAAAAATAGCCTTAACTTTTTATTTTTTTTTTTTATTAACTAACTTTATAATTAGTAGTTACTTTTTTTTTTTTTAGGCTTATCTTGCTATATAAATAGCTTTAAAAAAAAAATATAAAACATTAAATAAATCTTTAACTAATTATATATACTAGTAAGCCGGAGTTAATATACCTATTTTTTAATAATAAATTTAATTTTAAAGGGTTTATTATACTTTAGGTTAAGTTTTTTACTTAAATATATTAACTTAATATTTTTTAAAAATATTAGGATATTATTTTCAACCTTAAATTTTATTAAATAATGTTTTTAATTATAGTAAAGCGCTTACTTTTTTATATTTTATTTATATAGTCCTGCAAGTTCTTATAAAGCTATTTTAAATAATATAAACACTTTTTAATAAAAAAATGGGATATTAATTCCCCTAGGTTTTTAAGCCTAGGAATTACTAGTTTTTATTTATAGCTTATTATTAGTAAAGCATAGCTAGTTAAGTTATTTTTTAAGTTATTATAGGCAAAGCGTGCCAGTAGTAAGTATAATACCTAATTATTTTACTAGTGGTTATAATACACGCGTAAATATATTTTAAGTATTTGGTTTTAGTGCTTGGTTTAACTATTTAATTAAAAATAGTATATTATACTAAGTTATTACTTAATATACAGCGCTTAATAAAAGGCTATTTAATATTTTAAAGTAAAAAGTAAATTTTAATTTATTACTATGCTTTAAGGCGACCCTGTGTTATATATAATTTTTTTAATAAATAAGTTAGTTAACTTTTTTATAGTAATTTTATTAATAGTAAGGAGATATTTTACTTTTTTATTAAACTAATTTATAATTACTAAAATTATGTTATAAACGCGCCCTTTATACTTTAATAAAGGTAGGCTAATAATAAAGTTTATAAAAATATTTTTTTATAATATATTTAGCACTAAAAAAAATATTAAACTTTTTTAAAATAATTACCTTAAAACCTTAAACCTTTAGTATAAAAAATATTTTTTAATATACACACGTGTATTTTTATTAAGCTTTTTCTACTAAAACTTGCAGGTAAGTAATTTAATAGTTTTTTTATAGCTAAAATAGCCTATATAAAAATTATTATAATATTATTTTATAATCTTATGTTATAACGCGGGCACGGGAGGTATATAAATAATACTTTTATAAAAAAAAAGTTTTTTTTTTTTATACCACTTAGTAATAAAAAAGGCCTGCCCTAAATTAATAAGAATTATACCTTTAAGCTATTATTATAATTAGCTTATAAAAGCATTCTTTTATTAGGCTATAATTAATTATTATTAAAGGGTATTTATAACTAGTTTAATAGTTTTTTTTTACTTATTATTTTTATAATAAATATTTTAAGGCTTAAAAATTTTAAGTACTTATAAGCCTAACCGCGCGGAGGAATAGCTAGGTCCTTTAGTATTATTTTAATAATAGTTTATTAAAAAAATAAACTTAACTTTTTTTATAAAGTAGGGAGTATTTTAACTTAGTGCTTCTTATTTTTTATTATATAATTTAATTATTATAATAGCATATTTACTAGATTATACTTACCTAGCTTATACTTAATTTTAAAGTTATAAGTTATAAGTAATTTTACCTATTATACCTGCTTTTAGTTTAAAACCTTTATTATAAAAAAATAGTATAAATTATTATAATTATACTACATGTGTATAAGGTGTAAAAAGCCCTTAAAATAGTAATACTATTTTTTAAAGTACTTAATTACTATAAGTAATTTTTAATTATAAATCTTATAGTAAAGCTTTAGTTTATATAACTAATAAAAATAAAAGGCCATAAGGCGCCACTAGTCTTATTTTTTTTTACTAAGTAATTTCTTTTACTTTAGC